TTTTTAAATCGGCCCTAGGATTATTTGACTGTTGGCCCAAAATGTACCTAAAGGTCAAAACGTTTTTCTAATAGACAAAGTATGCCCAAGAGGTATAGGGCATATGCATGTTAGGTAGAAAATAACCTCTCTGATCACCTCACTGGAACACTCCTTCAGAAAGCAAACTCCTAATCCTTACTGATATACTGATTAATAAGGTTTTTAATGCAGTTGTTCCCAAAGACGTGAAAAGAAAATCCAGGAATTTTAGGGGAACAAACAAAGCTGATGGCATTGTCTCAATGTTACTCATGTAATATTGAAGTTATACTAGTATACTGAAAGGATATGACTTCCATGAGTTTACCTACTCCGGGCTGTCTATTGAGTATTTAACTTTATAAACTCTCGATAAACTAATTTTTGAGGAATTTTGTTTTTAAGATAAATCTCTTTTTAGAAGATATTTATTCCCAAACCAACTCTAATCCAATCGAACAAATGTATGATCCCTAAAAATGTTCAGAGTACAAAAAAAAAAAATCAAAAATGTATAATAGGCAAACAAAAAATGGCACTAGCAGTTTTACTGCTATATAGCCCTCAATTATATCTAATTTCACTATTATCTATGCTGTGTTTCACTTCAATCTAAAACTTTAAATTATGTATTCTCAAAAGAGCTAGTCTTTTTTGAGAGATAGCTTATAAACTGAAATAACAATTTATATTATAAACTGAAATGTTATGACCTACAACCACATATACATATATAAAAATAGTCCCACTGAACGTTTGACATGTTTAGATTATGCAGCTCAAATAATTTGTTATAAAATATTTTAAAGCTTAGTTTCTTGTAATTAAGACAAAACTCTCCATTTTTACCACTTCTCCCCATACAAATGTGTGTCCTTTACTATGACTCGAGCAGGCTTCCCAGAATGAGGTGTCCAAAGGTGCTGCTTTAGAAAAGATAAGTGAAGGGCTCAGTCAATATTTCACAAATTATAGTAACACTCACACAGAGCAGGGTAATGAGGACACAGAGAAAGCTGTCTCAAGAAAAGTTAATAATTCTATTAGTTAAGCTTTGCTTTTAAAAAACCAGTAGTATTTCTTCCGATATAAAACCTTCAATGAGACAATCTTGAGTTTTATGAAAAGGTTGTAGTGCAAGAATTTTCTTTAAGCAGATTAAAATCAAAACTTAGGTCAAAGACATAGAAGAGAACAAACATTTCTAATTAAGATGCAACTAATGAAGATCAGCTAATTTTTGTAAAGTCTGATTATTTAAAATGTAAAGTGAAAATTAACACACAAAGATCACAACAGTTGCACTGAATAGTTTCAAATCTCTTACTGAATTTTTTAAGAACTACTATCTTGAACACATACAATGTATATAAACAAAAACGATTCCAAATGAAGCACACACAAAATAAACTTGAAAAAAAAAATCTAAGAAAATTTTTTCCATAGTTTAGTATAACAAAAATAAATCTCTTTCAGCAATTAAACCATAACTTGAAAAGGGAATGTAAGTTATCATGGATTTAAAAGAACCTAAATTAGAGCTACATATAAACAGAAGAATTTTCTCATACATTCATAAAGAACCCAAGCAATAGCAACTATTCTTAAAGCTCAAAACTGATTACAGCTAACATCAGGTCAGACATGACTTAAGTGTGAAGCTGAACCCAGAGTTAGTTCAAGTTAAGATTTCACAAATTTTCCAAAACGTTAACCTTGACCTTGGCCTTCTGGCTTTAGAATGGAAGACCAAGAATTTCAACTGTGTGCCCAGATCTTACCTTGATTAGGGCTATGAAGTCATATCTAGCAATTAAAGAGAACCACCACTGGAGTGTAAACGCCTGATGAGGGGTACCCTGTCTCGGTCTTTTCCAGCAAAAGACAACGGCGAGGAAAATAATGAAGACATTATTGTTACTTTCTTTAGAGCAAGACAGCAGACATACAGAACACTAAACCAACTAATATATTAGAAGAAGAATTAAATGACTAAGCTAATCCTAGTTTTCAGAAGTAAAATCATTAGAAATGACTTTTTAAATGTAGAAAAAGTCTTTTACCCATATTCCCATAGGAAAGGATATCGAGTTTCATTTCTAAGAACAGAAAGTAAATGATAGAATCATCTAATAAAAATTTAAGTCTCATATACAAAAGAACACTAATTTGATTTCTAAAACCAATGCCAATGTTTTTCTTTTTCCAAAACTACTTGTGTGCCTGATTGTTTCTTAAACCCAAACACCTCCAGTTTTGGAATATTAAAATCAGAGTTTTTTAAAAAATAGTTGTCTCATTTAACTGCAAAAAACAAAACAAAAGTCTTCACATTTCCATGACTTCACTCTATCTCATGTTCAGTGGTGGCAGCAGCAAAAAAAAAAAAAGAAAAAAAAAAAAGAGAAACTAGAAAATGTATACAACAGCCATACAGAAGGCATTGCAATATTGCACCAACATCCTAAGACCTGGCAGGGCTCGCCAGTGTAGATCTAGTCTGTGTCAGCTACAGGCTCTACTCAGGGAAAAACGGCATCCACGTGAATGAGCCATTCCCTGGCTATTCTTGCTTAACTTTTCCAATTGTACGTTTTCCCTTCAAGTTGAAAGGTGCGGCTATAACCCTAAAACACTTATAAATGCTTACAGTTATTCTCAATCCATTCTCAACTTTGAGGTTACTGTCCTTCATGCTAGTAGCTTTCAGAAAATAAAACAAAAGCTAAGGGCTTACATCCCCAGTGCCGCTAAGTTTTCTGTCCTAAATAAACAAGTAGATATGATCAGTAAGATTATAATCCTATTCCTTACCTCTAAGTCAAAACTGAGCTCAGATTTTCCACAAGTTGCTACTTTCCATTCAATAACAGATGCAGCAGCCTCATTGAATGTAAAGAATGGAAGTTGCACTTACTTTCAAGGGGCCTTTATTTAGAAGTCTGGTATTACCTAAATTCTCTTTAAAAGTGCTTGCACGCTGCAGGGCCAGGGCTTGTCATATACCATTCCAATTCTCACTAAAAACAGGGCAACATTAAACAGACTGCGAAGAAAAACATGTTCAAAAAGAAGACATACATCGATAAGGAACACTAATGTTTACTTTTGAAAATAAAATATAAAATGTTTTCATAAATCCATACGTTTCAGGAATATAAGGAGTTCGAATGTTCAAATATTGCTGAATCAGTATGGACTGAAGATAGGCTACTTTGACACCAAATGAGGACTCCAGTTATTTTAACTTTCTAAAAATGTTAATACATGAAAAGACGTTACATCTAAAATTCAACAAGTATGGCAAACCGTGTGTGTGCAAGTGCACTAGCTTAAAAATATAGAATCCTAACCACGCATAAAAGAGGATGTGCCTTATATATTCATAAGATGTATGCACATATGGGTACGCTTTCACTAACACAATGCAGATAAGAGAAGGCAGCTTAGAAATAGTGTTTTGAATATAAAAAGTTAACTTTGTAGAAAATTTATATTTTTGCATTTTCAGCAAAAAGCCATGCAAAAAGGGCAAGAGTTTTAAACTTAAACAATAAAACCAAAAGGTCTAACGGACTGAAATAAATGTTCAAAAAGATTTCAGATCGAGATAGGAACTGAAATTACATCAAGTGACACTTATCAGGTCTTCTCTTAGAAGATGCATGACTCCTACACTAACATCTGAGAGAAATGTTTAAAGCATAAAATCAGCTTCCCAGATAAGTGTATCATTCTACTGAACTGATTCAGGAAGTAGTTTCAAGAGCTAGTGCTTAGAACTAACTTATTGCATGAGTTTGAGGCCACCAAAAAGAAAAAGAAAAAAGGATGCTAGCACAGAATGAAAATTTTTTACGCTATTAGACCAATGGCTTTGATAGTAAAACTGGTGAGGTTTTTCTTTATGTTTTTAACTACTCTGTCACAAACAAATTTCTTGTTTTGCTCTGAAGTGAGAAAGATGTCATTAGTTGCAACGTCTGACCTCGTCCAGTATGTATTCTGGAAAATGCAGGTTGCACACTTGTAAACCATCCAGCTTGCAGGGCATCCGTGGGTACTCATCCTCCTTCCACTTGTTTTCATCCGGATCAAAAGTGAGAATGGAATCGCTGTAATGACCGTTGTAGCAAAGGCCTCCAAGAACCATTATTTGTTTGTCCAGCACGGTCACACCATGGCCACTTCTACCAATTGGCATGGACGCCAAGATGGTCCACTGATCAGTCTCTGGGTTGTATACTTCTGTGGAAGGGCAGCCCTGAGATTCAAAAGAGGCCCTCAAGATCACACAGACTCCACCGAAGACGTAGAGCTTGCCATTGTAGGAAATCATCTTGTGAAAGCATCTCGCGTAATTCATTTTGCTCTTATTTTCCCAGCAGTTGGTAACAACTTGGGTTCTTCTGGTCCGTTGTTCTATGGTCCCTTCTTTACTGGGGTCAAAGACACACACTTGTTTGGAGGTGGACGATGAGGTGATTCCACCGGTGATATACAGCTTGTTATTGAGCACTGTCCCTTCGTGTCCATATTTGTTAACTGGGTAAGGGTCCACAAATTCCCATTTATCATTGGTGATATCGTATCTCTCTGTTGAATAGAAAGTCTCATCTCTGGTTCTGCCTGCTACGGCGTAAATAAACTTCCCAATAACACCAACTGCAAATTCTGAACGTGGTACAGACATGTCTGCCATCCGGAGCCAAGTGTTGTGTCTGGGGTCATACCTGAACACTTTGGAAGAAGCATGGAATTCACCATCTGGACCCAGTTCTTCCCCACCCAACAAGAACACAAAGTTATTGATAATAGCAAGGCAGTCCGGGCGCAGAGGTACTTGGGGGCCCTCTAGTTCCCACCAGACTCTTGGTTTCTGTAAGAGAAGTATTTTACTGTTAACCATGCTATGTCCAATCATTCCTCGGAATACTGTAGTTTGGGGTTTGGCAGAGCGGATGCGGCTTGATTTCATGTCCAACAAAGGCTGCTGGTGAATGTTCTGAAAGTAATTCAATGCTTGGTCAACTTCATAGCGCAGCTGTCGAGAGTATCTATAAAATTCTGATGTCTTAACCTAAGAAAAAAGTAAAATAATTTAACCAAAAGAAAGAACATCAATGGCAAATAAAACATCAAAGCCCACTAAGATGGTTAGTATAAGATTTTGGGCTTACTTTCCTAAAACTGCTTTTCCTGTTAAGATCACAAACTTTTTTAAAGCTTTTAACATATCTATTTTTGCAATCTACAGTTGTTTAAAAAGTAAACAAGTTACTTTCCAGGCACAAACTAAATTCTTGTAACAAAATGTATTAACCACCTATTATATGTTCAGGTCCTGGGCTACAAGTGGTGGCTATGAGGAAAAATACAGATTTCACAGTAGAGAAAAACATGACCATGACTTTCTCAACCACAAGGAACAGTGTAAGAACAACCATGACTGAATAACTTGGGGAATTAAGTTAGTGAGTTAGCAAGAATGTAAATATACACGAAATTCTCAGTACGTTTTTCACATAAAGACTTGGTCTGATTTCATCAACTACTATAGTAATAATTCAGTTGACAAGAAAAGGTCAGTTTTTCATTTTATTTTTGGAGCTAGAACTAATTAAGATGATTACTAAGATCTTATGAAGCATGCTTTTAAGTACTGTGCTTGTGCTACGGAGAGATTTAAAAAAATAAGGGTTAAGATATGTTATGTTTCTGCAGAGAACTTAGAAAATATTTGGGGAAATGAAAACAAATACACATTTACCAGTAAGTAAATGAGGCAGTTGATGGTTACGTATGAAGCTGTATAGCACATCTGTGAGTGCTGGAGAACTTTAGATACAAAAGATTACCAAACTGGCCCCCAATGCTCAAAGGGGTACTTTGTAAAAGTAGTAAGAAGCTGAAGACCAAGCAGAAAAAGCCTGTGTCATATTTATAAAAAGAAGAGAGTCTTGTCATTTTTTTGCAAATTATAAGAGAAAGTTTATGTAGAAAGTTACAGAGGTATAAAAGTGAGTTGTATGAGAAATGGGCTAAGAAAACAATTTACAGAGGAAAAAGGCGGCCCTGGAGCTTAGGAAAGAAAGGCCAAGGTAATGTGCCTGGGGGGAAGAAGAGGGGGAAGGGAAAGGCACCAGTGCTCCAGAGAGGGAAAGCACTATAAAAAATGGATCTCCTAAAACCATCAAAGGTAGACTTGATTAGTGAAAGAATTTTTTTCAATTTCCATTCATTTCTTCTAGGAATTGACTAACAGTGTGCCTCACTCTTTTTTCTCATATTTTTCTTATTAATTTATAAGGGCTAAAAGGCAGTAACACCCTGGAAATCAACAAGAAACAAACCTCAAATTAAATATTTAAGTGCCTACTGTGCACAGCCAGTGGTGTGAGAGCTACACAGGTTTGAAGTACTAGATTCTTGTCCAGCATAGTAATTAAGCACCACCTCAAACAGCTTGTTTGGTAATTAAGAATCTGATTTAGGAAATATCCGACTTTGGCACTCATAAATTGTGCAATCTTGGGTTAAAATTCATCATCCTTAAGGCTGTTTCTTCATCTGTATTACTAGGTAACAATAGTACCTACACCCCATAACCCTAAGACAGGAGACAATCAAGATAATATATGTGAAAGGACTTAGTATGGTGTCTGTCATGTACAAAAAGTAATAGCAGTTACCAGCTATTTTACTGACCAGAGTACATCTGTGGAAGTGTCACTCAGCTTAAGTCAATGCATCTGATGATGTGCTTCCCCGTCTGTGTAAAAATTCAGTCTTTCAGAAAGTAAAGGAGAAATGAGAGAAACTGTTACTTTGGATCTAATCCTCACCAGTAAAACATGATTAGTAACATACCTGTAGAAGGAAGCTTTAGAGAAAGCAGTCCTGTTTTTTGGAGATCAAGAAAGGAAGGAAGAAAAATGATGCACATATTGGACAGGCAGATTTCAAGTTTTTCAAATAAAAATTAGGATCAATTCCAAGATCAGAAACTCTGTAAAGGCTCTCAAAAGCATGATGCTGACTGCATAATTGCAAAACATACTGATGAGGGGGGAAAAAGAGAAAAGTATCTAAAAAATCTGATATGCTGCACAGAGCTTTCTGGAATTCAAATGTTAAAAAATCACTTATGACAGATGGTTAAAAAAAAAAAGAAGTATTAGTGAAATAGAGCTGTAAAAAAATTATGAACAAGGCTAATGCCTCTGAATGAACTGTGATTTTTATAAAGGACCAGATATTGAATAAATGGCATTTTAGAGGTTAAAGTAAAAAGTAGAGGAAAAAGTGAAGTCTCCCCTGGATGCGGTGGTTAATGTAATATTAACAAAGACAAACAGCCTTACTCCTATTTTATTTCCATTCTCAGCTAAGAATGTTTTATTCTTTCCAATCTGAAGATCAAATACAATGACTAAGAAGAAACTTAAATCCAAGATGGCTGAGAAAAAAAAGAAAAACCAGCTAGATATCCTCACTGAGTTCAGGTCATTTGATCTCACAAATCACATCCTGGGATCCTAAGAGGCTTCACAGATAAGGCTGCTTAATTGCTTTCTGTAATCTGTGTGGAATCCTGAAGAATGGGAGAGGATAGGAGCCAGACATATTTCTCAGCTACAGACTGGTTAGCTTGAGGCTGATCTTGGATTGTTAAAAAAAAAATTTTTTTAAGTACGCTTGCAAATAAGAAGGCACTACACACTAGGAGAGCCGCTAAATAATGCAAAGCTGACCGTTTCTGGTTTAACTTTGACTATGAAACAGCACTGGTAGAGGAGGAGAGAACCTATGACTTCAGCAAAGTAATCGCCAAAGTCTAATCATCAAGCAACGAGAACCACTGAAGACCCGTGAACCACCTGAACAGCAGCAATAACTGTGTTAATGCATTTGGGGGGCAGGGTGACGTGGTGAGACGCCCACAGCTTTTATCGGATACTCTAAAGATCCACGAACTCCCAATGTAAAGCTTTCCCTGACTCTAGCCTCAATATGAACTAACAATGTGGGATAGGATAGGCTGTAGAATTAATAAAATCGTGGACAGAACTAAAAGATTAGACAATCCCATGCTCTCCATTCGGGTGAAACTTGCCCTTTTCAGGTTCCAGATAGGTCTGTATTTAGCTTTTTTACAGGGACTACGTTTAAAAAAACAACTACTATGGTACATATTTTCTCAAGTCAGGGACTGTCTACCTCCCGAGTCAGGGAACGTCCTGCCACTGCAGGTAGTCCAAGTGTGCCCACCTGTCAGGAGCACCGGAGAGGGATTCCAGTGTCACAAGGTCTAAGAGAATGGCCTGCCCTGGCCTCCACCATCTAACCCCAGGCTCTTCTCGCAGATCCCATCAAACTGGGCCAGGTTAACTGCTGCTCAGAGCCACCTTCCCACCTTTATACCCAATCTCCTGGTCCCTCTCTCCTCTTCTCCATTCACTCAACTGTGCTGCTTTGAAACCTGGGTTGCAGAGTGTCCAAGGTTCACTTCAACTCTGTTAAAGTCCAAATCGAAGCTACATATCTGTATCCAGTCAGTTCTACCTCTAAGCCCCTGGTAGGGGAAGTTGTGCCATTTGACATAGCTGCTTATACCATAAAAAATCTTCGAAGCAAAGAAATTTAGCTCCTACTTCTCCCTGACAAGGCCAGAAGTTCTAGATCTACTTGCCCTTTTCCCAGAGCTATGTACGGCTGCGATTCTCCTCTAAACCCCACACAAGGTATCAATATGCATTCCTAGTTTCTTCCATGATAGGAACGTAGAATTAATGCCTCTGATAACCCTACACAAAGTACAGATACTCTGCTTCAGAACAAAAGACGGAGGGCTGAGAACCTTCTGTGTGAATAGAACATTTTAAATGCATTAATGAGGGGAGCTACCCACAGAGAAGCGAGTGGCTCACCTTTTCATAGAGAAAGCATTTCTGCCATCGCTCACTCCTCACACAACAGTTCAACTACCTGCATAGCAAGTGCTCTCAAAAGAAAGATACGGAAAGAACGCCATTTCTTTCATGGTCTGAACTACTTTTCTTACACTTTCACAGGATGAAAAGAGCTATCTTGTGAGATATTGATTTTAAATGTGGTTCCTCTAAATACATATTAAGTCAAAGAAATAATAGCCATTACCACTGAGCAAAAAGTCCCTGTCTCTCCCTTCACTGTCAAAATGTTACATAACCCATTCATTAAGGTTTTAACCTTTAAAGGTAATCTCTATATACACTCTTAATTTTGAGAGAAAGAAAATGAAACTGGCAATATAATTAAAACATGTATATCCAAAGAGCTTACTACCTGTATTTGATTAAAAATCTGCAATTTAGAAGTCTACTAAAACTCGCCCAATCAGGCGTGGCTCAGCGGTGAAGCATCGACCTAGGATCCAGGTGATCGGGGTTCGATTCCCGGTCAGGGCACATGCCCGGGTTGCGGGCTCGATCCCCAATGACTCTCTCATCATTGATGTTTCTGTCTGTCTCTCCTTTCCTCTCTCTGAAATCAATAAAGATATATTTTAAAAGTCTACTAAAACTGGCTAGAGTCAAAAATTATTTTGGCTTGCATCAGCCAATTTAAGATATTACCAGCTGTTTCACCTCTCCAAATGATTTGTAATTACCCAGCATACTTACACTAAACCAGAGAAATAAGTGCCGGGGTGGGCCTCATCCCTGAACTCCAGATCCCAGGTCTTAGGCAGTGAACAGGATCCAGTTTAGAGATTTCCCTTGAGGAAGGGAGTCAGGTGCATGAATAGACACCTCCCCTTGGGCCCTTCCTACATCCAAAAATGCTAACCGAAGTTTAGAAATGTATAAGCTGTCACGTGGAAGACGGAGTCCTGGCTGTCGGTTTTATCACCCTTTCTCCGTGATCCAATCTTCTGAAAAGAAATATCCAGAAACAACGAAGTTACTATCGCCGGGCTTGAGTGCTAAAACAAATGAGATCTTTGGAACTACAGCTACATTTCATATAATGATGCTCAGGAAAATGTGGAGCAGTCTTTGCATGTTGTGTTGCCAAAGCACCTACCTGGTATTAGAA